AGAAAATTAGAAAAAAGTAGAAATTAGTTTGATAAAGCAGCTTTGGCTTCAAGGGTAAACTGATAAACATGTATGTTGTTAGCTTATCTGACAGCTATTACTGATTCAGAAACTATTTTCTTTAAAGATGAAAAATCCGATTAAAGACTGATTTCTAGACCTCTGCAAGTAAGTCTGCTAGGGGTAGGAAATTTTTAGACGCAGGTCCTTTAAGAAATGAGCTCTTGAATCCATTTGTGGGTGACTTCAAAATGAACAACTTCTTTCTGAACTGTGCATCTAGATAGATCTTGTGGGAAACTCTGGTTTACTTCATGAAAGCTGAGACTTTATTTTGTAGGTTTAACAATTACTCCATAGCTGCATCTTTAGATGTTGTGTTTGTTGGATGTCTTGTTATTGTCATTAATAGGTTAAAAGAGCAGGTTTAATAGAATCCTAGATTACCATGGGGAAACAAGTAACTAAGTTAAAATAATCTCGAAAGGAACTGAAACTCTTTCACTTGTTAATCATAACTAAGAGTTATAAAGTTCCAGCAGTACTGTCTAGGATGTTGAATATATCATAAATGTGCTTGAAACCATCCCTTAACATCAAAGCTAGTCTCCAATTGCATTAAATTCAGCTCCCAAAATATTTAAATTCACCCTTCCTCACTTCTCATTCAATTGTAATTTCCTCATTTGAGAAGAAATTTTTCATCTTTGCGATCATTGCAGCAGAGGTACGGGTAATTTCCCAAATAAGATCCAAGTAACTGATTAAATATATATATATAATTCCTTTTTTTGATTATGCAGAAGCTTGGTTGGAACCTGACAGTGCTATTAGCATATAGAAAAAAACCTGCATTGTGCCAACATGCATGTTGCCCACTGACTGTGGCACATTGATTTTGAACAGACTTTTTCAAGATTTATGCCTCCGTGAGTGTTACTGGTTCATATCACTTACATGTGGAGGTGACAGGCATATTCTAGCTTGTGCTACTTAGAGCTGTACCTTGGGCATTTTGCAGCTTCAGAATAGAATTTGTTGACGTGAAGTGCGCACAGAGAATAGCCCAAATTCCCAATAGTTGTGAAACTCAAATAACCTACATGATGTTCAGTCATTGCTGCAGATCATTCACAGATACGACACTCAGTTAATGCTTTTATGGTCTATCCATGAGGCTGTTCTGGCTACACGAACTAATCTGTGCTGCTTCTTTCTCAAAGTTTTGGTTCGAAATATCAGATGGGCTTTGGTTGCATATTGACACATAGTGCAGAAGATGCATGATGGGGGGGAAATTCAAATTATTTTCTATTCCAGTCTTACCTTTGCCTGTATTAAAATCCTATTAAAAACCAAGAACCTCCCCTGCCATTGTGTATGAAACTGGGCCTTATTATCCACTCACTTTTAGTGGAACAAAAACTGCTAAGAAATTTTGACAGTTTTTAATGATTTTTTTTACATGCTGGAAAACTGTTGCCAAGAATTACAATCATTGTTGTAATAAATACAGGAGCTCCCCAGTTTGTGGTATAACTGAGAGCTGTGCAGCTGCTTTTATGTTTAGGGTTTAAATAACTTGTGGTAATAATCTTTAAATTGCACAGACTTTACACAGTAAAGTCAAAGTCAGTTTTATCTTTTACAGATTTTTGCAAGCTTTGTTTCTTTTTGAAAAAAAGATGTCAAATCATACAGTACACTAATAAAGATATTCATAGAATCATAGAATACCAGGTTGGAAGGGACCTCAAGGATCATCTGGCTCAACCATTCCTGACAAAAGCGTGGTCTAAACACAATGGCCCAGCACCCTGTCCAGCTGAATTTTAGAAGTGTCCAATGGCAGAGAATGCACCACTTCCCTGGGGAGATTATTTCAATGACTTGCTCTTTTCATTACAGAAAATTTTCCTCTTTTCTTCAGTCAGAATCTCCTCAGGATTTTCTTTGCTTCCTAGAAAAAGTCCCATGGCCATTTAAAAACATATTTACTTAGGTGCAATGCACACTCACAAGATCTAGTCTACCTGTTGAACACTGAAGTTTTATTTTCTTAAAAATTCATTTGTTTTATAGACCCCTGTAGAAGTAACAAGAACAAGAAAACCCAAATAACTCTTAAACATCATTATCTACAGCACTCTCCACCAGAATCAATGTGTGTTTCCTCCTAGTTATGGACTTTTGTCTTTCTAATATGTGTTTTAAAACTCATCTCCTTGGGGCAGATGTCGGTATTCCTGTTCTTACAGCTATTTCTGCATGTCACCTACCACAATTAAAAAGGCAGTCATGGCTCTACAGCACACAAGGAGCTTTTTCTTTTTTTTAATGAAATTCCCTACATTTTTTTCTCATCCTCTAAAGATATTTTGTTTCCAATTTCTATTTATATGATTAACTACTTCAACCTCTACTCTTGCTGCTATGACCTTGTTGCAGCAGAGAACCTACATCAAAGAGGAATTTACTGTAGTATGTCGTGACCTGCATTTCTTGCCTCATGTCTGCGTTCTAGCAGACGCTTCTTGAATACCAACAGAACAGGGATATGCATTTTGATGCATACTGTCCAACAGGCTTTCCAAGGTCCTGTTTACAGTTCAGGGAGGAAAATTCAATTATGCCTTTAAAGAGCAGTGGTTTCAGACTAAAAAGGGGCTTGATATAAAGCTGTTCAAAAAATCTGTGTGCACTTACTGATTTTTAGAGATATTCAGCATCTAGTGCCTTCCCTGAGAATGTCAAGGACTGAGTAAATTATTGCTTCTAAACACCTGTACTTTCAGCCAAGTGTGTGTGCTTTTAATTACTTTGTCATGGCTAGAATTCAGTACTTGCATAAAAATGGATGGGGAAATATTAGAAGTACACAGGGGCATTGAATGCCGTTGTAGGGAGAAGGAAGATGGTAAAGAGCAAGAGGTTAATTTTGGAATTCTGACTCATCATTCTGAGGAGCTGTGCTTCCTCTCCACTGATCACAGACGTGAAGCCTCAGTATGCTATGTAAGCAAACTGAGAGCCTATAGTTGAGTGATGTGAATTTTCCTCCATAAACATGTCTGTGGATGACTTTCATAACTGTTAGGTAAAATTTTCTAATTCCTAATCTTTGGGCAAGAGAAATAGGAGGGGAACTTCTTGCTTTATCTTGTGTTTAGAAAGTAAACTGTGTTTGATTGTATAAAGCATTTACTGAACCAGTATAAGTGTAGAATAGTAACTAAAATTCTGTGGTTATTTTCTAATGGCTGCTAGTATTTTTCTTAGTTCCACATTCTTCAGTATATTTTCAGCATGTTAGGTCCCACAAAAGGTCATGAAAGACTACTTTTCAATTTCATTTAAAAAAGAGCACAAACCAAATCAAACCTTAAGTCTTTGGAAACCGTCTAGTCAACATTTACTAGTCCAATACAAGCCATGAAAATAAAATTCTACAGCAATAATTTGTACAAGTAAAAGCCATACAAAACTAACTGTGAAAGGTTACTGCATGCCCAACAATAGCGACTTTTTGAGATGAAGATTTAAGGACAACTAGCAAAAAAGTATATATTAAAAAAATTTTTTTAAGAGATCTATGACAAGAATTGGCACTTCTTATTTCAGATTAATCCTTTGTGTGAATCAAGAAAGCTTGCTAAACTCATCACTTTTAAAAAGGAGTCCTTTAATGCTTGCAGGATTAAGTAACTTTCTTAGAGATTTTGGAGCATATCCTACTGTGAGATACTTAGTTAATAATGCACTAGTTTTGCTGTTAAATACCTTGGTGTAGAGGCTATGTGTTGCTCTAGATTTTGTTACTCTTGGTTGCCTTTCAAAATCCATGTTCCTGGTCCTTTTGTGCTACTGTTCATTTGTCTTCAATTAATGCTTATCCTTTTTTTCAAAGTGAGATCAGGTATCTGTAATATCCTTTGAAGGTTTCTGCTAAGTTATGGTTATTCTCTCTTTGGTAGTGAAATCTGCACAGTTAGCCTTCTTACAACTGTATACATGCACGTTATGGCAAATATGAATGTGATTTCTGTTGTAGCATGTTAACAATTGTTTGAATTGGACAGAAAAGGAAGAGGGTGGATAAATAAATGAAGACTGATACTTTTATGAAAGTGGCAAGATAGGAAAGGACACTCAAAATAACCAAATGGCTTTCAGCTGGGACACCTTCAGCAACATAACACTTTGCTTTCTTGATTGTTTTTTTTGAATGCAAAGACTTCTAGGGTATCTTAAAATAAGTTAGAATTCTTCTAGTCATCTTGTTCACATTGTGACCCTGAGATTAGCTCAGTTGTTGGAGCATGGTGCTAAAAAGATCAAGTTCATGGGTTCAATCCCTATGGGCTATTCACTTTAAGAGTTTGACTCGATGATCCTTATGGGTCCCTTCTAACTCAGAATATTCTGTGATTCTGTGATTAAAGGTGTACATCTATGCTTTCAGTTGTTGAAGGCTTTTTTTTGATTTCATTCTCATCTCTGAATTCACTGTTTTTAACACATTTTGTTATTGCTGATTACCTCAATTTCATATGGTAGCTATTTCTTTTAAAAACCCAAAACAACAATGAAAAAAGCCCTCCAAAACCAGCAAAAATAGAAACCACAAGCCCCAAAGAAGTGCACAAGAACAACAAATCCTGCAACAACTGCCAGCAGAAAAAACCCTAAACCTTGGACCATGAAACCTCACTTAAGTAATGTTTAAGAAGAAGTATTAGCTTGGTCTCTTTTTTTCTTATCCTTCTTCATGGCCATTGGACATCAGGATCAGATGTCAGCTTCCTACTCCGAGTAGTTTTGAAGTTGGTGATGCTGTTTGACCTAGTGGTTAGTGAGTAATGGGGTGTCACCCAAAAATCTTATTGGTGCTAGATTCATAATATGAGCTAACTAATTTTGAGTTAAACTGCTAGCAAAGGAAACATCTATCATTTGCAATATTTGTGAACTATTTAATTGATTTTCTTTATTTTTTACAGGAATTGTTTCAATTATGACTCTCACTGTTCTTGCCTATGAACGCTACATTCGAGTAGTCCACGCAAAAGTGATTGACTTCTCTTGGTCTTGGCGGGCTATCACATACATCTGGCTGTACTCATTAGCCTGGACTGGAGCACCTCTTTTGGGCTGGAACAGATACACACTGGAAATTCATGGACTGGGTTGCTCAGTGGACTGGAAGTCAAAAGACCCAAATGATACCTCCTTTGTACTCCTTTTTTTCCTTGGCTGTCTAGTAGTGCCTGTTGGCATCATGGCCTATTGCTATGGCCATATTCTATATGCAGTAAGAATGGTAAGTTAGTACAAGTAAGATTTCTCTTAATGTAATATTTTCACTGAAAAAAATTTAAAGCTGTATATTAAGCTAGGGTCTGAGCCAAATTTGCACTTTCACTTCCTATTCAAACTTCTGAATGTTTAATCTACGTTCATCTATACCAGGCACCACTAAAAAGGATGTAGGATTGGAGGAGAACCAACTTAGACCTATCAAGGTCTATTTGTTGTGTAGTTTTACTGGAGGGAAGGTTAGGGAACTGCTTATGCTCACTAATCCATATCAGATCCTCACTTGAAAACAGGGAAAAAGTAAACTCTGTTTGCAGTTCTTCTGATTCATGAATTCTCTCTCCTCATCACTCTTGAGAAGATAACCCTGTGAAACTCTTCCAAGTGGAGATGAAGCCCTGTTAAAACAGTTTTCCATGTTAAGGCAACCCCTTTTAATTCAGTCCAGATCCTTAGTATCAGAAAGTGTTATTGATTCATATTCTGTGGTAATTAGTCTGGACCCATTCTGGTTTGTGGTCAACAATATTGGCACCACTGATAACTTATGGAAAATGCTCACATACATAACCCATCTTTTCCTCATTTTATGACTCACTCAGATAGTTCTGGTAATCTGCTGCCTAGTATTTTGCTTTAGCAATTTCATAATTTTAGGGTAACGAAGTGGTAGAGCAGTACAGGGAAATCTTTTATGAAATTTTCTTTTCTCCAAAGACTTCTGATGACACGGATTTACAGCATTGTCTAACTAGTCAGACACTAAAGGACCACTAAATATAAACTGAACTGGCTAATGCCAGTGGATGAGGGCAAGTTATTTTTCTAAAATACTTGCAATGATAACTGCAGCGTGTTTTGTAACATCACTGGGTTTATTGTTTTCTAGTAGATTCACTATTCTATTTTTCTTCAGATTGTATTTTTACACTTAATAGTAAGTCTGGGAAACATGATGTAAACTTCCAGAAGAATTGTGGTTCACAAGATAAGGTGTATAGTGTCTGTGCCTAAAACTAAATTAGTGAATGAGTTAGTTATAAATAAATGTAGAACTATTCAGTTTCCAGTAAAACATAGAGCTATTTTACCTTACCATTTTATCTTTTTCTTCTACAGCTTCGCAGTGTAGAAGATTTCCAGAGTGTTCAAGTGATCAAACTTCTAAAATATGAAAAGAAAGTGGCTAAAATGTGTTTCTTGATGATCTCCACGTTCCTTATTTGTTGGATGCCCTATGCAGTGGTCTCCCTCCTGATAACATATGGATATAGCAACCTTGTAACTCCAACTGTAGCTATCATCCCATCTTTCTTTGCCAAGTCAAGCACTGCTTATAATCCAGTCATCTACATCTTCATGAGTAGAAAGGTAGGTAAATTAAAGATTTTCTTTTTTGAATGATTAGTAGCCAATATCATAATTGTGGAGCTTAGATCTGATATACTTTAATCTGAAAAGCTTAAATTTTTCAAAAAATTGAACAGCTAGGATAAAAGGTGACAGTCTAGTAGAATTAAAATACCTGATGATGCTTAAAGTACCACCGGATTAGAAATTGGGTTTGCTCATATGTGAATTGAGACATTAAACTCCCATGGAAGAGATGGGAAAGAGTGTCAGAATTTAAGTGTCCAGTTTTGACAGTTTACCCATGAAATGGACTACAACTAGAAGAGCTCATATGAATTGCTCCCATACCACAACAGAACTCCATCAGAGAAAATTCAGAATATCTGTTGTCTGTGTTTTTAGGAAGAAGAAAACTCAGCATAGTATTTCAAATACTACACCAGACCTTCACAGTACTCAAAGCCAGAATCTCATGTGGATGACAGTTAAATGTTTTTTGGAGACAAATTATGTTAAGAAGACATACTTATCTATGTGAAGAAAGTTTGTATTTTTGTCTGCTTCTGTAGTCTTCATTACAAAAAGTAGACTGCTGAGTTAATGGTGGTAACTAGCTCCTTTCAGTGCTTTACAGAGTAAAGAGAGCATGGAAGTATTTGGAGTTATCAGAGGCATGCCAAATAGATGGAAACTAGAAAACCATACATCGTTCTGTAAATCATTGTAACTGTGAAGATAACCGCTGATTGCAGCTAAGTGGTGTCGGTGAATTTATTTAGACATTAACATACTTCACCATAACCAAGAACACTAACTTGGTCAGTGTTTCAACAATAACTTGGTGTATTAATACTAACACTAACTAGCGTAACATGCACATTGTAAACTTCTGAAACCATAGAGTTAGAGATACCTGGAGTTTGGTATCACTTGGCAAAGGGTAAAAACCCATGAATTATTGCTAGAAGGATTTTCCTGAGTTTTCCTTATCTGTTAGTTCATTATAGAGATGAGAATTTTCTGTGATTTCCTACATTGGTAGCAACCTGGGCCAGCCAGCAGTCTGTAGGGATGAGGCAGCAAAGTCAGTGGGTCCAATCAGCCAGGTGGGCAGCCAAGCAAAAGCTGCCGTGCAGCTCAGGTCAGGACCAGGTTAAGAGTGAGTTTAAATGCTTTTCTGAGTAAAGGCAGGAGGCCCTCGATGTGGCATCTTTCAGTTCTTCCCCAACAGATCATTTCACAGCAGGCTGATCCATGGTTACACAGCTGCACAATACCAGAGCTGGCCTGGATATGGAGAGCTCACAACAGTCGTGTTCAAAAAGACCGTTTTTCAACAGGGTGTTTTCTTTAATACACTGATTCTGTACCTAGATGTCAGAATCTAGTTTATCTGAAAAACAGTTTGTAGGTTCTGATACCCAGAAGCAAATCAAACTGGTACCAGGCACAATGCCAATAAAGACATAGCCAGGATAAGAATCAATCATCTGAACACACTTGTTGGAGATGTGTTGTGAAGTGTTTCTCACTCGCCTCTAATTCCAGATTAGAACCAAAATGATGATATTTTTTGCTTATTTTTTTTTGTGTTATTTTGCCCTCAGAAGGGCAAAATAACTAAATCACTAAACCCAGTTCTCTGTAATATCCTTCCTTTATCTGACCTGTTCTAAAATGCTTACGCTCTCTCACTTCATTGCTACTCAGAGGTAGAACACTTTCTCTGAGGTCTTCAAGGCCTCCACACGACCATTTTCATGCACCAGTTTAGCTCTCTCTGTCATCTTGTAATTGGCTAGGTCCCCTTCCCAATGGGACCTATGGTCTCCCCCGTGTCAAAGTAGGATTAATTTTCTATAACTAAACCTTATTCCAAACTGGCATGTTGGAGAGCTTCTTGCATAATAGCTGGGCAAGCAGAGTCACTGGCCATGCAGGATAATACAGAATAATCCTTAACAGAGCTAAATGGAAGGCTGTTGAAAAAAGATATCCTACTCCCTTTTCAGAAAAAAGATGGGTTATTTTCCGATTGTTTTCTGGCACTCCCCACTATTTTTACTTGTGGGGGTTTTTTTGTTGTTGTTGTTTTGGGTTTGTTTGGTGTTTTGATTGGTTGTATGAAGTCCTCTTCCTATGTTCCAGGCAAGTCTTGTTATGGGTTATTAAAAGAAGAGGAGGTTGCCCTCTTATTTCTTGTAAAATTAGAGAATTTCCTCAAAGGATCATATTTGAGCTTTAAAAGTGTGCAGATATGGATCTACTGAATGAGTGCATCCTTTAACCTCTATATCTGGATCTTAGTTTTGTTGAAGGGGAGACCATAACTGGACAATTAAAACAGCTCTACTACTGGAATAATCATTCTATATATGCGTGTGAACCTTTACTGAATGCCTTGCATTATTTAGTCACAAGGTAGAACAGACTTCCTGTACCATAGGTAGCTTCTAGTCTGCTTCTGTTCCTTCCGTATTCAGTGGATGCATTTTACTTATGTGTTACCGACCATTGAAATTTGATTTTACATCTGTGACGTTCGATGCTTTTGACACAATTCCAGACCCTGGAGTTATTTTAAGGTAAAGGTAGAAAACATCACTTTGTATCCCCTTCCTCCCCTTGTTCCTTCCCTCTGCATCCTCCTGGGAAGTGTTTCAGAGATTATTCTTTCCCTGCTAGATAAAATGTGTGATTTTTGAATGTGGGAACAATACCTGTAGCACATTTTCAAGCCTCGTTCTCTTGTCCTTTGCAGATTGCGGATTGTAGATTCTGTGGCTGGTAAAATATTAAATTGCATTTCAGTGCCCTCTACTGGCTTGGTGATCCTATTCAGCTCTGGTGTAGAGAAAAAAGTAGCTGCTAAAAAACCACCATGTTTGTTACAGCACTGCAACTAACTGAGAACAAGGTGGAAAATATGCAGAAATCTGTTATTTTGAGTCATTTACTGTATTGTGCCCTTCACTGGATTGTACACGATAGTGAATGCTGATGGAGTTGTAACTTCATTCTGTTTATTCTCTCTTGCAGTTTCGCCGATGCCTTTTGCAACTCCTGTGCTTTCGCCTGATGAGATTCCAGAGGACCATGAAAGAAACACCAGCAACAGGGAATGACAAACCAATACGACCAATAGTTATGTCTCAGAAAGCAGGGGACAGGCCAAAGAAGAAAGTGACTTTCAGCTCTTCCTCTATCATTTTTATTATCACCAGTGATGACACTCAGCAAATAGATGACAGCAGTAAACACAATGAGACAAAACTAAATGTCATCCAAGTAAAGCCACTATAGGGATGAACTGAAGAGACATGAGAATGAGGTGGATTTCAGCCACTAGACTATTTACACTGGAGACCAATTTCAGTGGCAGTGTCTGTGGGCTGCCAAAGGAAACCACATTCTGAAGCTGTGAAATACTGAAGGGATTCTGCATCTGAAGCTCTGCAAGCAGTTCATTTTTGGTCACAGAACTGAAATCTCTTCCAAAATTGTTGATGGATGTCTTTACTCTGAATTTTCTTAAAGCATATTGTAGGATTGCCTTTCAGAACTTAGTCAGGCTGGAGAAATGCTCTGACAGAAATGTTATAAAATTCAGCAAGGACAACTGCAAAGTCCTGCACTTGGAAAGGAAGAATGATGCTGCAACACAGCAGGTCAGGCCCTGGCTGCTTGGGGTGAAGCTCTGTGGGAAAAGGATGTGGAGTCCTGTTGCTTAATGAGTAGAGTATAAGCCTGCAGTGCACCCTGGTAGCAAAGAAGGGTACCAGCATCCCAGGCTGTACTGACAGGACTGGAGTCAGTAGTCTGAAGTGATTATGACCTAAACTCAGCCCTCTTAAGACCACATCTAGATACTGCATCCAGTTTTGGGACCCCAGTACAAGAAAGGCATCTGTAAACTGGGGTGGGTTCAGTGGAACCACCCACCAAGATTGTCAAAGGGTTGTAGTACTTTGCCTCTGAGGCGAGGCTGAGGGAGTTGCACTTGACTAATCTGGTGGTGAAACATCTTCAGGGGAACCCAATAGCAGCCTTCCAATAGAGATGGGGAGTTTTTCAGTAAGATGGAGCCAGGTTCTTCAGGGTGACTTACAGTGGAAAGATCACAGACAACGAATTTGAACTGGATGGGATGTAAGAAAAAGCCTTTTCACCCCAAGGACAGCCAAGCAGTGGAACAAGTCAGACAAGAAATTTCCTGAGGTTTCTTTGAGCTTCAGTTATCCCATTGATCCCTGAACTGCCAGTGCATAGAATTATCAAGGAAGAATAAAGAAGGTGTGAAGTTGACTGCACTTTAGTTGGCCTGAATTGGTGCTTTGCAGACTGGGGGGTGGGAATGAGTGGAATTATGGGTAAACCAGAAGGTTCCAGAAAGCTGTCCATCTGTAGAGAACAAGCCATTCTTTTGGTGCTACCTGGTAGTCCCTGGGTTACACAGTGAAGAAGATCATGCAAATTAAAGCACTAATGAAGAAAGGTCAGTGAAAAGGAAAAATTGGAGGTTTTTTTGTTACAATTTGCACTTTATAGATTTTTATCTTGCATCCATTTTTCATATGGACCATGAGCATCATCTGGTATTAATTCTGAACCTGTAATGGTTCAGCACAAGTAATGGTTAGGGAAGACCAGGGTGACTTTTGCCTAAGTTGCAGTGTGAGTAATGATTGTCTTGCTTGGAGCTCAGTGAACAGAACAGATAGATTTTTTTTTTCCTACCGTCACCTTTCTAAGTGTTGCTGGTACAAAATGGCAATAGGATTGTCCCCCAAACACGGTTTCCTGTCAGTATTGGAGAACTAATTTTGAATTATGGCAGTGAGGTCTTTACCACATCTGCTGCAACTCTGTAATTTCTCTGCCTCACCCTGCTAAATGGGCAGTGTGGATTTGCAACATGCAGCTTTTCCACCTCTGTGAAAGCTGAGGAAAAAAAGCAATTACGAAACTACTTGCATCCCCTGGGGGCAAATCTTCTGAGAGTTATAAAGGGAACATTCTGAATAACTGTTGGCACTGTAGCCACTGGTCCTACAGTCAAGAATAAAACTTCAAAATCTAGATGCATTCAGCTAGTTCCTGAGGGCAGGGAGTGACCACAACTCAGAACAAGTGACTGACTTGTCATGCGTGTGCCTGTGCTTTTGAAGGGGCAAATTTGTTGTATGTGCACCCCTCTAGAGCTTTGGCACTGGTAAACTGGCTCTGTGTCATATTTAAAAGTGCATCTGGAATCCACTCTGGTTTCTAGATTAAATAATATAATCTGAGAGAAAACAGATGATAAATGCTTGTCTTCGTTTCTTTCATATTCGTATTTTTTGTTTTGCTACAAATGCATAGACAAATGTTTTTACCATGTCAAAGATCCGCCCTTACTAAAACATGTTCATTACAATGTCAAGATCTATATTTTCAGCCAGTGATCACTGCATATGTATGCATATTTATATTTACAAACAGGGAAATATGTACATTACCATTCCATGGTTCCATCCTTGTAACAAAACTTCTGCTATTTTAGTGTTTTCTGTATATTGAACCTTCAGTGAGTGATTAAATGAACCTTATTTCCATCATTTTGTTCTCAGTGAAATATTTTTTTTTCCCACCAAGTGGAAGATGGTTTGGTATCATTGCTTGTTGGATACAGCAGGAAGGGTAGCACTAGGTCCTGAGAAAATGATAGTATTTCTGTATTTCAGCTGACCTTTGAAAAAAACAAGTATAAGTTTTGTAAAGAGAAACTATCCACTGTTCAGATTTATTAAGGTAAAATTTGAATCATTATCAAAAACAGTGTATGATTTTTTGTAATAATTGATGTGCAAAATATTTACCACTACAATATTTATCACACTAACAATTATGTAACAATATATGAAAACTAAACACTAAAAGTTGTAATAAATTTGTTATCTTGGCTACTCTGTGTGAATTAGTGGCCTAAAATTAAAACTTCTGTGAACTATTTGAGATACCTTGTTCTTATGGCCTGTAAGTGTGGCTGTGTGAAGTTAGAATGCTGCAGACCTATTTGCTCATCTTTCAAGCGCAACTATTTTATCTGTTTACTGCAAAATTCCCACCTTACAGAATGTAAGTATTGTAACACTCAGTCTTTGAGTAGCACCACGTTATTCACAGTTTTGTTTTTTAAAAATTTCAAGTCTATCTTTGGTCCATGCTGAAGTTGTCACAGCTGAATCGTTTATTACAGTGGAGATGCAGAGATTTATGCTAGACCTTTCTCTCCCATTACAGGGAATGGAAGATGGTTAGCATTATCATTTGGTCAATTAGCTGTTCATAAAGTAACAGAAATGCAGACTAAGAAAAAGGAGAAGGAGAAAATGTGAAGGGCAAAAGGATAGGAAGAGATGAGCAGGGTACATAACTTATGAAGATATTAAATAGACTAGTTGGTGAGAACTTTCATGATCCTGCATGCAAAGGGAAATGACAGGTGATAGCCTCAGAGCCAATTAATTTCTCTTAATGATGTTTCATTGAGTTCATGCATTACTGGAAAAATACATAGGACGATTTAGTTAGAATGCCATTTGTAACCTGTAAATGCAGGAGTCTCAGTTGACTTGTTGCCTTCCATTATGTCAGGACTCTGTTGGGAGACATTTCAGCACCACTTCCACTCTGGGAAAGGGATCCCCCCTGTGTTTTGAGACAGACACAAATCATGAAGCTGTGCCCACCCATCTTCCAGTGCTGGGGCTTCTGCTGCTGCTGCCCTGGATCCCATGGAGGCAGGAAACTGTGGGATGTATGGTACAGATCTGTCCTACAGCCTTGTGACCTTTCTTCTTTTTCAGCTCCCAGAAGAAACTAGATTGATGCAGAATGTATCTAACTTCATGCAGAAGAGTTGAGTCTTGTACTACTAAGACATTATTTTTTATCACAATGGTTATATCAGTCAGAAGATCAGTATTCACAAGCATATCCTTTTTGCTCCTATCCCTTGCATAACATCAGTCTCCTGCTGCTGTTTCCTGCTGGAATACTGCAACAGCTAAGTGAAATAGATATGAAACAACTATACTGTGCTAAACCACCCAGAAAGAACAGCCTTTAAGAACACATTTATCCTTGGCTTATATAAACAACCTTCAGCTCAAGAACGAAATTTGACTGTCTAACATCCGGAGGTAAGAGAAGAGAAAAATCTGGCTATGAGGTTGGAGGATTTTACAAACTCATATTTGACCCACATATAAACATCTCAGTTTGAAACTGTCTGTTATCAGGTATTTTTTTTGTCAATCTATTTCACCGCAGTTAAGGAGCGTTATTTTTTGTCTCTCACGAAGGAAAGGAGGAGAAGGGGAAGTGAGGCTGGGGGAGTCCCAGAGGGTGGGGATGCCTGTTCCTGCTGCTATTAAAGAGTGGCAGTAGCTGCCCCTTTTGAGTTGGACTGGTAGTTGCGTGTGCCCCCACCCCTCCCTCAATGGTAGCAAAAGCAGGATGAAAAACAGACGGGAGAAGTGCTGCAGCTTATCTCCCTTTTTTTCTGCCGCAGGCAAGTGCTGCAGTCTTTTAGTTCCACTTGCCTGACGCCCAAGGCTGCTTTGCCTGCTGCTCTGACCTGTCTCTGCATTCCATTTATCCAGCTCAAGCTGAATATTATGAATTCTTTTTTCTCGCTCTGTTTTTATCAGATTAGTATTGAAGAAAAACTTGTCATGCATTAAAGCTAACGAGGAAATTAAATAGATTTTTAGTACAAATTAGAATGCCCGTTATTAGCAACAGACTTGGCATCAAACGCTGCCTGGCCCTGTCCCTTTTTCCTCCAGTTTCTTTACATTTTCCAACAGTGTTTGCGCTCCCTCTTGTGGCTTGCTCAGCCCGGTGCCTGCGGATAGATGAATGGACCTGGTCTCCTAAAAACGTGTTCTCATTGCACATTTCCCTTGCATATGGGAAGATTCACTGTTTCATGTCTATTATATTTTGTCGATATTGCGTATACTTCTGTCTTTGAAATATTTTGGGAAATAGATATCTGTAACTAATAGGAAATCGCAGATGTCACAGTGATAATTTGAGGAGTTTTCGTCTTTGCACATTCTGGAGTATCCAGCCAGATTGGCTGGTTATATAGATTGTGTAGACATGATTCTGGAGCAGCATATTAAAGTGCTTCTAAATCAATTTTTTGCCTTGCTGAAACTTTCTCCAAGTGAAGATAAAATTCCATCTGTTACTTCTCAAAAGAGCCTGAGGTCTGCTCAGAGGGAGACTAAAGTGTATGTATATCGATTAGCCTTGCTAGTTTTCACCAGTCTATCTTCACAGATAAATCATTGAGACTGAGGCCAGGATACAGTGTAGAACTATTAAAATTTATTTAATAGGCTTGCTACCACCCTCTTATTTATTTATATTAACTGAATTTCTGTTATTTTAATGAGCTTCCAGGTGTAGCTAAAATGGGATTTTGTTTCTGCGATGGATTGATCTGAGACATTATTGAGAAAATACTCTTCAGCTTCACACATCCCATTGTCTTTATGGTTTATCTAACTGACTTGCAACAATATGCCCTCAATACACTGTGCCTTTCATTTGATTTGCTGTCCTGGTGTGAGGAGAGTATTGAGCACATGGAATGTGCCATGGCTGATATCTAGAACAGTGTCAGTGCAAATTCCATCTGCAGTTGCTCTTTTCTAAGGCATGCTGAAGCCTTTACAAAGGGGCACTTACACAATCGGGCAAGACCTTAAAAGATCTTTTGGGTAGATAGTGTTAGTACAGCATCTATGTACATCACACAATACCAGTCACATGATGGTTCCTATTATTCATGACTTGCAGCTTTGTAGAGATAGTTGTAAAATAAGTGTTTATTTGAACCCATCAGAAAATGAAACTTTACAAATCACAGTTTCTTAGTTGCCTGAAAACTTCTAAAATAAGGGACTAGTAGGACAGGATAGGGGAAAAAAAAAACCACGTAGAAAGACATCCTTCTCTTTTCAAAAGCATTGGAACAATGCCTGATGTTTCTTCAGGTGTGAGGAGCTAATGGTAGCCATATGACTAGTACATACTTAGGATGTTAAAGAGTATATAACAGCATCTAGAGATGTTCAGTATATAAATATTTCAAGTAGCATAGCTATTTATGGCTACACAAAATAGTCCAACTCATGAATTTCAGACATATTTAAGTAAAAGCTTAGGATATAGTGGTCTGTCTCCTGCCCTGAAGCTACTTCTATTGAAGTTAATAGTGTGTATGCTTTCCAGAGAATTGTTATGAAATGTACTGACAGTGGGGAGCATTTGCTTCAACAGTTGTATTGAAATAGCTTATTGGTACCTATTGCTGCAATAATGTGTGATAGGATAATAATCATATTTACTCTGAGTTTTCTCTAACTACATTTTATACATCCAGATGAGGGTATTACTGTAAAAAACACTCAGCTTCTAAAAGGAATCTGGAAGATCATATGCTCCCAATTTCCAAGGTGACTGAGAAATTAGTTATTAGAAATGGACATGTTGCTACCTAAAGTGGACAGAATGTTTCCCAGGAACAGCATGTCCCAAGCCTTAGCTTTTGAACATCAGATCCTAATAACCAGTCCTTGAAACACTACAAAGAGGCATATAAATGATGATGTCTTTCTCTAAAAGATAATGAACAGCAACAGAAATTATAGCGAAAATGTCAAATATCGGAAAATTGGGTAACCATGTCTTCCTTTCTTTATCTAGGCATTTATTGTTCTTTGAAATAGAACTTTTAGACTAACAAGGCATTGCTTTTTCTGAGTGAAGGCCCTTCCATGTTTTTATTTTTTCCTAGGTATTTTTTAAACTAGTTCTAACATTCTTTTACAAAGATTGTGTTCTTTTCTAACAGAAGGCCCAGATGTGTGGACTCTGATAAGTAAAGAAGAAAACAAAATATATTTGAGATCTTTACCTTATTGGAAGGAAGTTTGTGAAGATATCATTTATTTAGTATTGGGGAAAGGAACTGAATTGGTACATACAGAAATTTTTGAGAGAATCATGTTCAAGTGAGACAGCAAGTACTTTAAATCTACTATATCCATACATTTATTTTGCACATAGCAAACAGTTACATCTGAACTTAGTAAATTCACTGATCCTAAGAATATAACAGCTTCCCTTGGAAACAGCTTGTTCCCTTGAGAGGTACATCAGTTCCATAGCAAAATCATTTTATATCCAAATAAGGTATGTCACCCTGTAGAGGGAGCCATTGGGTTATCAAGCCAAACATGGCTATTGTATTTTTATTGCTGGAATTTGACTTTTTTGTGTTTGTGTTCCTGTTGTGTCATTAGTTTTGTGGCGTTTTTTGTTATTGTTTGTTTGTTTGTTTTATAGTGAGCTTGCATGAGTGCTTACTGATTTAGTTTTCTTCAGGCTTTGCTACATTTTGCAGAAACTCATCTCTTAAACCATTTCACCTTCCTAGGGGTGACAATTATATGCTTAGTGCTTTCTCTGCGAAGGAAACAAGATAGAAGAAGAGGTCCATCCTGTTCCAGAGTACCAAGGACAGTGCTTAATTTGTATAATATGCAGCAGATCTCACAAGGGTACAAACTGTCCAAGCGTCGTATCTGGGTTTAGAGTGCTCTGTGCAGATGGGAGCAGGATTCTGCTGTGGCTGGGGAAAGGAGAATTGAGTTATTTTCATGGGAAAAAAGACTTGCCATCAAGGACAGTCTAATGTAACATG